AATGAAAATTCGCACGGGTTCAAAAACGATTTTTTTTAAATGGGACAAAAATCTTTGCCAGTCCAAAAAATGCTTCGGAGCACTGAAATATGTGGTCTATACCCTTTAGAAATCGGGCACAAAGGTGAAACTTTGAAACATGGCGAAAAACCTCGTCAGTCCAAAACATGCTCGAGAGCACCTAAATTCATGGGCTACCCTTTGGAAATGGCCCCATAATGTAAAACTTTGACACGGTATGAAATCCTCACCGGTCCAAAAAAAAGCTCTCGAACACCAAAATCCATGGGCTATACCTTTCAGAAACGGCCCAAAAACTTGAAATACCATTTGGAAATGGCTCAAAAACTTGAAACCTTGAAATGGGACGAAATAGCTCACCGGTCAACAAATGCCCCGAAACACCAAAATCTTTGGGCTACATATCCTTTGAAATGTGGCTAAAAAACGTAAAACTTTGAAATGAGATAAAAATCCCCAGAGGTCTAGTAAATGCCCCGAAACACCGAAATCCGTGGGCAATACCCTTTCGAAATGGCGCAAAAATGTGAAACTTCAAAACGGGACGAAAATTTTCACGGGTCCAAAAAAATGCCCCAAAAAAGTGCCGAGGCGCTGGCCGGCGCGTGCGTGTGAGGGCAGGTTGGGGGTCTGATTGCTTTTGTTTTTTAGATCTAGGGTGTATGTGTTTTTTTTTGCTAAGTCAATTCCTTACAATCTGGCCCCACTTGAAACGGGCCAAACCATCTGATCAGTGCTTTTTTGCAACGACCTAACAGATTTTTCGGTGTTTTCTGCACGGATTAACGAGTTGGTGGTTTCCTGCAAACTAAGCCGCAAATGTGGTGGTTTCTTGCAATTGACTCAATCGTCAGACTCCACAAGAAATTTATTTGTAATGAAACAGTAGCGTTAGTTCACAGTTTCAGAGCACGAACATATAGTCCCTGTTACTAATGTAGTTAATGAACGGAATCTACCCATTTATACCTATAGACATATTGTAAACTCATACTAGTCCCTTCGTTCCTAAATATAAGTCTTTCTAGACATTTCAATATGAACTACATACGGAGCAAAATGAGTGAATCTACACATTAAACTATGTCTATATACATTTGTATGTAGTTCATAGTGAACTCTTTATAAAGACTTATATTTAGGAATGGCGGGAGTAGAATTTAAATTGCAGTAATGCAGGAGAGGAGAAAGGGTTGCAGTGGTAGTCTGCTATGAGGTTTCGTCTTTATACTCCCTATATATGGACTGCGCGTCAGTCAATAATAGGAGGCCAAATGCTCGATCCGTAGTAGAATGGACCGGAAGAGAAAATATATCAAAGTTGGAGACTTGTCATACAGTGGTAGAGTACAACAGCTACTCCATGCATGTTAATTATGTCAATCTTCCATTGACAGTGAACGCACGCATGTACTACATTCATGTGCGCTGCCTGCTTGCAGCTCAAGTCCTTCATGGACTGACACCGGACGGACCAAACTCCCTGTATTACACGTATGTATGCATCTCAGGTACATTAATACTACCTCCGTCCGGACAAGCTTGTCCCAAGCTTGTCTCTCAAATGGATGAATCTAGCACTAATTTGGTGATAGGTACATCCATTTGAGGGACAAGCTTTTTCGGACGGAGGGAGTATGATTTTAATCTGAACCTTTAAAATCTATAAGCAACAAATCAGATGGTTTTGCCTAGGTTAGAAATGTTATTGCTCATTTGCCTCTTAGTTTAATATAAGAGATAGATTTTAATTTGCGGGCACATAAAACTATCACAATAAATCTGATGATCGAGATTGTATCAACCATCTTTCTAAAAAAAGTTGAAGTGAAGTGAGACGAAACTTGGTGTGGTCTTGCAACACGACTTGTGGTCTTGTAGTCTTGTGTGTGGAAACAACGAAGACTTATGGGAGGTTTATGGTCTGGTCTTCGCATTCATGCAGGCTGCCAGATCACCACTATTTGATAGAGGGCTGACCTAGCTAGCTATATTGGCAATTGTCATGCGGCACACTTGTGCTGGATAGCTCACACGCACATGAATGATAGCACCAGCAGATTCGACTTAATTGATGTGTGTCGACTGACTTAGAGGACCTCAATATAAATACAAGTTCCGTGTGCACCCCAATATAAACGCATGCATGTACTACATTCATATGCCTTGCCTGATTGCAGGTCAAAGTCCTTCATGGACTGCCACCGGGCGGACCAGACTCCCTGTGTTACAATCTCAGGTACATTAATTTAATTTCTAAACCTCTGCCTTTTAAAATCTATAAGCGACCTATCATATGGTTCCTTTGCCTCTTAGTTTAAGAATGTGATTGCTCCTTTCCCTCTTAGTTTAATAATAGTTTGATAGATAGATTTTAATTTGCGGGCACATAAATCTATCGCAATAAACATGATGATCGAGATTGTATCAATCATCTTTCTGAAAAAAAATTGAAGTGCAGTGAGACGAAACTTGGTGTGGTACCATTTGGTGCTCGTGTGAAAACACAGGACTTTAGTCATGCAGCACGACTTGTGGTCTTGTAGTCTTCTGTGTGTGGAAAGGTCCAAGACTTACACAAGGTTTATGGTCTGGTCTTGGCATTCATGCAGGCTGGCATATCACCATTATTTGATGGGCCTGGATAGAGGGCTCACCTAGCTAGCTATATTGGCAATTGCCATGCGGCACACTTGTGCTGCACAGCTCAGGCGCACATGAATGATAGCACCAGCAGATTCGACTCAATTGATGTGTGTCGACTGACTTAGAGGACTTCAATATCAATACAAGTTCCGTGTGTACCCCAATATAAACGCATGTATGTACAACATTCATATGCCTTGCCTGATTGCAGGTCAAAGTCGTGCATGGACTTCCACCGGACGGACCAGACTCCCAGACTCCCTGTGTTACAATCTCAGGTACATTAATTTAATTTTTAAACCTCAACCTTTAATTTTAAAATCTATAAGCGACATATCATATAGTTTTGCCTATGTGAAGAATGTGATTGCTCGTTTGCCTCTTAGTTTAATAATAATATGATAGATAGATTTTCATTTGCGGGCACATAAAACAATCAATAAACCTAATGATCGAGATTGTATCAATCATCTTTCCGGAAAAAAATTGAAGTGCAGTGAGATGAAACTTGGTGTGGTACCATTTGGTGCTCGTGTGAAAAGACAGGACTTTAGTCATGTAGCACGACTTGTGGTCTTGTAGTCTTGTGTGTGTGGAAAGGACCAAGACTTATGCAAGGTTTATGGTCTGGTCTTGGCATTCATGCAGGCTGGCAGATCACCATTATTTGATGGGCCTGGAATAGAGCGCTCACCTAGCTAGCTATATTGGCAATTGCCATGCGGCACACTTTTGCTGCACAGCTCACGCGCACATGAATGATAGCACCAGCAGATTCGACTCAATTGATGTGTGTCGACTGACTTAGAGGACCTCAATATAAATACAAGTACCGTGTGTACCCCAATATAAACGCATGCATGCACAACATTCATATGCCTTGCCTGATTGTAGGTCAATGTCCTTCATGGACTGCCACCAGACCGATCAGACTCCCTGTGTTACAATCTCAGGTACATTAATTTAATTTCTAAACCTCAGTCTTTAATCTAAAAATCGATAACCAACATATCATATGGTTTTGCCTATGTGAAGAATGCGATTGCTCGTTTGCCTCTTAGTTTAATAATAATATGATAGATAGATTTTAATTTGTGGGCACATAAAACTATCGCAATAAACATGATGATCGAGATTGTATCAATCACCTTTCCGGAAAAAAAATTGAAGTGCAGTGAGACGAAACTTGGTGTGGTGCCATTTGGTGCTCGTGTGAAAAGACAGGACTTTAGTCATGCAGCACGACTTGTGGTCTTGCAGTCTTGTGTGTGTGGAAAGGACCAAGACTTACGCAAGGTTTATGGTCTGGTCTTGGCATTCATGCAGGCTGGCAGATCACCATTATTTGATGTGCCAGGATAGAGGGCTCACCAAGCTAGCTATATTGGCAATTGCCATGCGGCACACTTTGTGCTGCATAGCTCACGCGCACATGAATGATAGCACCAGCAGATTCGACTCAATTGATGTGTGTCGACTGACGTAGAGGACCTCAATATAAATACAAGTTCCGTGTGTACCCCAGTATAAACGCATGCATGTACTACATTCATGTGCCTTGCCTGATTGCAGGTCAAAGTCCTTCATGGACTGCCACCGGACGGACCAGACTCCCTATGTTACAATCTCAGGTACATTAATTTAATATCTAAACCTCAGACTTTTAAAATCTATAAGCGAGATATCATATGGTTTTGCCTATGCGAAGAATGTGATTGCTCGTTTGCCTCTTAGTTTAATAATAATATGACAGATAGATTTTAACTTGCCGGCACATAAATCTATCGCAATAAACCTGATGATCGAGATTGTATCAATCATCTTTCCGAAAAAAATTGAAGTGCAGTGAGACGAAACTTGGTGTGGTACCATTTGGTGCTCGTGTCAAAAGACAAGACTTTAGTCATGTAGCACGACTTCTGGTCTTGTAGTCTTGTGTGTGTGGAAAGGACCAAGACTTACGCAAGTTTTATGGTCTGGTCCTGGCATTCGTGCAGGCTTGCAGATCATCATTATTTGATGGGCCTGGATAGAGGGCTCAGCTAGCTAGCTATATTGGCAATTGCCATGCGGCACACTTGTGCTGCACAGCTCACGCTCATATGAATGAAGGAACCAGCAGTTTCGACTCAATTGATGTGTGTTGACTGACTTAGATGACCTCGTAACAATGGTTGGTGCACTGGTCTCTGTTCCATATTTGCCTGCTGCTCCTGCCGTGCCTTCTTCTCCAAGAAGAAGCACAAGCGGCGCTGCATGGAGGGATCTCACTAAGGTCCCAACAAATGGCCCTCCTCGACTAGAAAGCTAATTTTGAGAGCCCACCGCCGCAGATGAGCTCTTGGCAGGAGAACACCAGCCCCTGCAACTGGACGGGCTTAATGTGCACGGCTGTTCGCCATGGCCGCCGCATCCCCTGGGTGGTGACCAACATCTCTCTGCCGGATGCTGGCATCCATGGAAAGCTTGGTGAGCTCAACTTTTCGGCTCTTCCATTCCTCCCATATATCGACCTTCATAACAATAGTCTCCATGGTGCACTGCCCACTAGTATCAGCTCGCTGTCAGCACTTTTAGAACTCATCCTTGAGCAGAACCAGCTCGTAGGGAAAATTCCTTGTGAGATTGGTGACCTGCAAAGTCTCATGTTGTTTGATCTCTCATTTAACAAACTCACAGGACATATCCCTGCATCTCTTGGTAACATAACAATGTTAAGTCAACTTGGCATTCACCAAAACATGGTATCAGGTCTCATTCCTGAAGAGATTGGAAGGCTTGTCAACCTCCAAGTTTTGCAACTAAGCAACAACAACTTAAGCGGTTTGATACCGAAAACCATTGGTAATCTGACCAAGCTAAATATTTTGTACCTATTTGGTAATCATCTTTCAGGACCTATACGAAAAGAACTAGGCATGCTAGTCCATATGCAATATCTTGAGCTTAATTCAAATGATTTATCGGGGCCAATTCCAGTCTCCATAACCAATCTCACTAAGATGAACACACTTTTTCTCTATGATAATCAAATCACAGGTTCCATCCCCCCAACAATAGGAAATCTTAATATGCTGAATATACTTTGTCTCTATCGAAATCAAATAACTGGTTCAATACCCCCAGGACTAGGAAACCTCACTTTGCTAAATAAGCTTTTTCTCTATACAAATAAAATCACAGGGTCGATGCCTTCAAAAGTGGGCGGCTTGCTGAATCTCCAAGGATTATACTTGTTCGAGAATCAAATATTTGGCTCTCTTCCTGACAGATTAGGAAATATTACCAAGTTACTTTGCATTATCCCTCTCTGATAATCAGATAACCGGTCTCATTCCCCAAGATATTGGCAATCTAATGAACCTCAAGTATTTAAGCTTGTATCTTAACCAAATTTTGGGATCAATCCCAAAAACTTTTGGCAAGTTGCAAAATGTCCAAGATTTGCAACTCTTTGATAACAATCTGCCAGGTTCTCTTCCTCAAGAAGTAGGACATCTCACAAGCCTTATTAAACTTGGGTTGTCTAACAACTCACTTTCAGGAACTTTACCCGCAAATATATATTCAGGTGGTAGACTTCAATCCATCGGCATATCTTTTAATATGTTCAGTGACCTAATTCCACGGAGTTTAAAGACATGTGCGAGTTTGGTTGAAATTGATCTTCAGTGGAACCAACTAACAGGAGATTTATCTCTACATCTTGGTGTGTACCCACAACTAAAAGACATGCGCTTGACATCAAATAGATTCTCTGGGAAAATCACATGAAATCTAGGTGCATGTACCCAATTAACGGTATTACATCTAGCACAAAACAAAATCACTGGTTCCATACCTCCAATCCTTTCTAAATTGTCCAACCTAGAAGAACTAACACTTGATTCTAATCATCTTAACGGTGAGATTCCACCAGAAATCTGTACTTTAGCAAATCTATATATGTTGAACCTATCACCAAACCAACTATCTGGACCCATACCAATACAAATACAAAAGCTATGCAACTCAGGATACCTTGATATATCTGGGAATAGACTGGGTGGATTAATACCGGAGGAACTAGGGGGTTGCACGAAATTGCAATCCTTGAAGATTAACAACAACAACTTTAGTGGGAGTTTGCCTGGTGCGATTGGAAATTTAGAAGGCCTGCAAATCATGCTAGATGCGAGCAACAATAACCTCACCGGTGTGTTACCACGGCAACTCGGGAAGTTGGAGATGCTAGAATTTCTGAATTTATCACATAATCATTTCAGTGGGAGCATCCCATCATCCTTTGCAAGCATGGTGAGCCTTTAAACAGGCGATGTACTTGGAAGGACCAATCCCAATAACAAGGCTACTAAAAATGCTTCAACAAGTTGGTTTCTTCCCAATAAAGGTCTATGGGGTAACCTCTCTAGCATGCCACCTTGTTATTCAACCCCAGTAGATGCTCACAAAAAGGGGAAGATACTTGGTTTGATTTTGCCAATTGTTCTTGTGATGGCTGTCAGCATTGTTGCGACAACTATTGTCATAATAATACTTACTCGTATGAAGAGAAAACCACAAGAAAGTGTTACCACTAAAGCAAGGGGTGTATTCTCTGTTTGGAATTTTGATGGAAGATTAGCATTTGATGATATTGTTAGGGCAACAGAAGACTTTGATGATAAGTACATCATTGGAATAGGAGGATACGACAAAGTCTACAAGGCACAACTCCAAGACGGGCAGCTAGTTGCTGTCGATAGGCTTCATCAGGTCGAAGAAGAGTTGGAAGATGAAAGAAGATTCCCTAGTGAAATGGAAATCTTAACACAAATCCGACAACGAAGCATTGTCAAAAGGTATGGATTCTGCTCCCATCCAGCGTATAAATTTCTAGTCTATGACTACATTCAACAGGGAAGCCTCCACAAGACATTGGAAAATGAGGAGCTAGCAAAGGAATTGAATTGGCACAAGAGAATTGTTGTTGCACCATGAATGCATTCCACCTATAATACATCGAGATATCGCAAGCAATAACATCTTACTTGACACATACTTGAAGGCTTTTGTCTCAGATTTTGGCAAAACAAAGATTCTTAAGCCCGATTCATCAAACTGGAGCACACTAGCAGGAACATATGGCTACATAGCTCCTGGTATGTTGTAGTATATCTTTCTTCTCACGTCAGAAGCATTCATCTCTGTCCACTTTGTTTGTAATTCTAATGTTTAATTTGATATTGTGGAGAAATGGCATACACATCTGTTGTGACTAAGAAATGTGACGTCTATAGCTTTGGCGTGGTTGTGCTAGAGTTAGTGATGGGAAAGCATCCAAGGGATCTATTAGATGGTATCTCAAGAGGGGAACAAGATGTGCTGGTGAAAGATATTCTAGACCAACGGCCGACAACACCAACAACAACAGAAGAGGATAGCTTTGCTCTGCTCGTCAACCTGGCCTTTTCTTGCTTGGAAACTTCTCCGCAAGCAAGGCCAACCATGCGGGAGGCATACCAAGCACTCATCCAGTGATCCTCCTCTAGTCATTGTCCAGTGTGTTGAATGAATCTAGCACGTTGTCTTGTTAATTGTAGATTTCATTTTCTTCTTTTTACACATGAAAGAATGGTCGATGTGGTAGACAATGGTGTGTAATCGCCATGTCGTAGTGTGGACCACTCCACGAGTTTGTTCGTACAATGTCCGAGTCTTGTGCTGTCGTAAGTTGTGCGCCCACGTGATCCCAGACTTGTGCAATGACACAACTCGCACGAGGGCACGTTTACAGTTCTCTTGTTCAAGTTTGTTATCTTCAAATAAGAGAAGAGAAAACACGAGAAAAGCTGCAGAAGTTTGAGCAGTGCAAAGCACTTGTGCCCCTCTCTCAAATTTCCTTACCACGGGAGTTTGTGTCTCTGTCTATTCGGTGCTGAAATTTGAAGTTTCAGGAAGCAATGAAGCATGTCTGATGGTCTGGCGTCAATGACGATAGTCGACACGGCAAGACTCTGAGCGAGGTGGCAGCCTTTTGGTTCAAAAGCGTACGTTTTATTTCTGGTACGTTTCAGCTCTTCTATAATAGATACGTAATCGCGACATGACATGCGTGTTATTAGAGTGCTAACTGTCGAAGGATCCAAGTAAAAGGTGGAGTATGTTCTATAAAAAGGTCATTTTTGTGCATCGATCGACACTGTATGTGGTAAGAAGAACCGATGGAAGATTTCATTTGCCACATGTGTCTTTTTTGTTGTTCTAGCGTCTATACCTGGCCGGATTTTCGGTATTACATTAAATGAAAAGGATGCTACACTTCACTTCATATGGTATCCTTTTTTTTTTTGAAAAAGAGGCAAAATTTTTGCCCCATTTATTTGTTAAGAAGGGAACAGTTTGACCCTTCCTTTCTATGTACATTTCTTAGCGAGAGTGGCGTTTTTGGGCTTTTGGCACATGGGAGCGCGCACTCCTGGTTTTTAGAATGTGTTTTAAACATATTTTGAAATATTAAAAATTCCAAACAAAAAATTGGCGTGTATATATCGATATTGTACTTACTCAGAAAGTCGTTTCGCGAAAAATCGACAAGTTATGTGTCGCGTATAAAAAAGACAATATCCGGTGTTAAAAAGTGCTTTTCACAAGACATATTTTCTTCTACAAAAGCCACAAAACAATGTCGGTTTTGTTCGAAACTTGACGCGCACACATATAATGTCGAGTAGTCTGCGCCAAATCTTTGTTTCTAATTTTTTTCACACTTTGAAATATTTTTTCCGGTGACAGGTGCGCGCGCTCGTAGGAGCACCAACGGATTTCCGTTTCTTAGCCATCCTTCTGATGTACAAATGCTATACCAAGAAGCCATTTCGGTAATCTAATCCTACTGAGTGGGTGCATACTAACACACACGTAATCAAATCCTAAGAACAGACACCGCAATAACCAGTTAACCATCACACTGTCAGACACTAGCACTGGCAGCACAATAATCTCATATAAAGGTTCAAAGTTTGGAGGCAACCACAGTCTTAAATTGCTCAAGAGCTGTCCTAACAGCCCCAGAAGGTCACTGCTCCTTTGAACGGGGAGTGCCGGCAAGCCTGAGAAGCAGGTGGACACTTACTCCATAGTGGTCATCATGGCGGCACCGTCGTCGAAGGCGATGTAGGCTTCAATATGAGGGGCGGCGCTGATGGACGGTGCAGCTCACTGTCGATGTGCAGGCTTCTTCATATGGTGGCCTTGCGGTGTATGGATTTCAGCAAGTTGGTTGAGCAGTTCATTCGCCTACCAACATGATTTTGTTTACAGAAACCATAAATATATACATGCCATAAATTTGTTACGAAATGCTGAGATGGTGTAAAAGAAAATGAGACTACTTGCTTATTGATGACACGAATCGGCAGTGCTTACATGGTGTGTAATTTTCAAATGTTAATTAAGCACTTTGGAACGCCTTTGTCACTGAAGTCAGCTCTCTAGTATTTTACATGAGACTCTTATTTAGTTCTTCTTACATCATGCTCATATCGATGCTTCCCCAAATGGGCGGACGCAAGTGTCACATGGGCCACCCAGCCTCCTCAGGGAAGCTACGGAGTCTTTGTTCTTACCTGGGCGGAGTCTTTCCTGCATTGGTTGTTGGTGAAGGTGACGTGTTCCATGCTTGATGATTAGGATTCTACGGTATAACTCGTAGCTAACATACCCGTCTTTTGCTGCGTACTCAAGGTGTAGCGGGGATAGCGGCATCCACTCCCAAAACTGATGCTTCTCCTTTGGGAATGATTTCTTCATGTTCTTGTAGGAGGGGTCGATCGGCCGCTGCAAGGTCAGTCATGGAGTCCCTTTCTCCACCGCCCTTGATACAGAATTGCCTCTAGATGTCTACGTGGTACTCGTCTGGAATTTTAATCCATGCACGGGCCAACATGGTCTTGTCGCTCCTGGTGTCGACGCTAGCGAAAGTTACCGCTTTGCGTTGCAGGAAGTCAAGTAACGCCTGGGAGCGCTCGTACCTGCAGTAGTGGTATACGAGGACATGCTCGCGCTTTGCGAGTTGGACGAAGGCGATTCCTTGTCGTATGTAAGTGCTCTTACGTGTCCACTCGAGGTCGAGGCCGACGAACTTGTTCTCCTCCTCCTTCAGCCATTCCTCGTACTTTTTGATGATTCGCTCCACGGTCTTTGGGTCGTTGGTGTACACCACTTCCAGCATGGTTGTACCATGGGTAGTGATGTGTGCGGTGGTGAAATTGTTGCGGCCGGCGAGAAACGTCTGAGGAAGACGATGGAAATGGACTCGGTGTAATGAAAGGAA